GCCGCCGGGCCCCGCCCCCTTGGCCCGCGGGCCCCCCAAACGGCCCGCTCCCAGGGGTCCCCTGCCGCTGAGCCCGCGGGAGCTGCCTCCTGCAGCAGCCATTTTAAGATGCCCGCGAAGAGCCCCGAACACCTCTCCCGCTCAACGACCGCAGGGGCTGTCCGAGCCCCCCGGGGTCGGTTTCCTCCGGCCCCCGCCAGCTCCTCGGCGTGGGTGTGTGTGTGTCGACCGGCCGTGAGACATCGTCTCCTCCCGGACCTGCCTCGGGAAGGGAAGGAGCCCTTGCTAAGCTAACTCCTTCCAACTCCGTTGCTTGACATGACTGCAAGTAACTAGTCGAAAAATCAGTCAAATGGTCATTCAAAATTTCCTGTGACATTCCTGCGTGCTCTCGGACTGGAGATAAGCTGCTAGCGGTAAACTTGAAATAACAACAGCTCTACAAACATTGTTAAGGAAGCAAAACTCTTAGTTGCTCCTAATCAAGTGTTTGGGGAAAACTTTGGGGATCGGCAAAAATCACTCTTGCACAACTGTACAGCATGATTTATTCGACATATAGCCCTTGTGCTTGATTTGCTTAAGAGAATGCCTTTACATTTAACTTGCTAGTAAAAATTGCACTCGGACATCAGATGCACCGATTCAGGAGTTTCTTCTTGTTTTAAGCAACACCACCACCCCCCCAACAAATAATGTACTTGGAGGAAGGGCAGTTAGCACCAACTCTGCACTTACACAATTCTGGAGTATTACAGACCAAATAGCTTGCATGAACATTTCTAAGTTTAAACCCCCTTTGTTTTTCAAAATATTTACTTAAACAAATTGATGGTAGCATCACCACAGTTGACAGTTTCAATACTTTAAATGGGGAGCTCCAGTCAGCATCAAATCGGAAACATTGCACTTTACAGAATTCCAAACTAAGTAATGATGGGATAACACTGTGTAAATGGACTGACTGTCAACCTCACTCCTCTCCTCTGGGCCATGTTTTACTTTGGGAGTAAATCACTCAAAACCAGGCGAGTCTGTGGACAGTTTGGCAGCAGGCTTGCAGCTCTTGACTTTTCCCGCCCAGATTCACCACGTGCCACCTGCCCTTGAAAGAGGCTTAAATCTCTCACTTTTTAAATTCTCTTTTCAGTGCTTCTGTAAACACACAAAATGAGAGCTGTAGGCATCTGCTTATTTGCAGAACATCACAGGAACATCAACGAGGACAACTTATTTCCACTACTACTAGGCAAATATGGTCAAGAGACCACTATGTATATACCATGCCTGTTAAGAAGTAATTTAGCTTGTCCTCCTCACTGGCATTACCAACTCAGTGCAGATTTTATCATGTAAATATCTGTCTGGCCAAGAAACTAGACAGTTCGTATTCCCCTCTTGTTGGCACTGTGCTCTTTTAAGCATAAAGCTAGATGACTTTAAATTGGCACTAAACGGGAAACCATTTAATGTCAGTTATTAACAGACACTTTCTTTGAGGGTTTGTCCCTGTTGGTGGACTCTTAAGTATGGAAGGCCTCACTAGGAGAGGAGAAAAGTTTTATTCTGACATTTTTATTCCTCTGTATTGTTTATTGAAACCCAACAACTTTATCCAAGAACAAAGCAAACTTTTCTGGCTGTCCAGGAGGAAAAGGTTTCAAAGTTGACAAGTCCATCGACTGCAGTGTCTCCACAAGAGTGCTGTAAAAACAGACCAAAACCAAAAATTAAAAAAATTAAAAAAAAAAAAAAAAATCCATCCCAAAGGGAAATTTTTTCTTCATGCAATTTTCTTTCTATTCATACATACATAATCTTTTAGCGTGGAAATGAAAATAAGGACACGTATTGAAAGAGACCCAACAAACCAGTGGGCCCTGACCATCACTGGCTCATAGGCAGCATTGCTGAGAACACGCTTCGACCTATACAACAGACAACTTTTTAATCTGTTGTGGTCACAACGTTGGGGGACTGAACAAGATCTGAGGATCTTCACCATAAACCGTACCAGGAAATTGATCCTATCTGAACACATGGCATAGTTCTCCACTTAACACATAGCCAGAAAGAACAGCTAAATCAATCTGTTAGCTTGCTATTATCAGACTGCAAATAAGGCTCAAGTGCTAGGCAATGTTCAAGAGAAAAAAATAAAAATTCCTCCCTATCTCCGAAGCACTGGGAAAATAAGTTTAAGAAACTTGCCCAGTACAAATGAATGACAGGCCTAGTCTTTTCAGAAGGCTTTTCTGAAACATACAAAATCCTATTTGCAGGGCAAAGGAACAAGATGCAGACTAAATAATGGGAGTTGCATTTCCTCTGCCTTCAATTTAGAGGTCATCTGTTACTTGTAGAGTGCAATCAATCATAAAGAGAAAACAGTAAGATACAGTCAAAACAAGAGAGAAAATGAAACTAACAGGAGCCAGGATGAACACAAACAAAAGGAGCTGGTTCTGTTGTTGTTGTTGGGTTTTTTTGGGGGGGTTGTTTGTTTGGTGGTTTGTGTTTTTTTTTTTTCCTCAAGTGACAGGCAGCAGATCTGTGAAACTCCTTGTCAGAGGATGTGGTGGATTCAGGAAGTTTGGTTAAAAGGGCAGCCTGAATAAGCACTTGGAAGACAGACGCATTGAAAGTTCCTAACCAGACAGTATCTGATTTAGGAATCTCCCTGAATCAAAGTACTTAAGAGCATTAGAGAGAAAGTAATACAACAAAGTGCCTATGTTCTTGCCCTGTTTCTACTTTTGGCTGAGCATCTGTGTATGGCCACTGCAAATAGGATACTGAGCTACGTGGACTCCTGATCCGTATCAGTAAGGCCATCTTCAGATACTTTAAATTTTATGATGTCAGTACATCTATACAGTCAACTTTAGTGCCCTTTACAAGGAAAATCCACACAGCAAAATGATGAAATGGAATCCTAAGTCTGCAGGGAGCAATTTATTCTTTATAGCTTATAGTTACAAACTGATGGTCTGGGTTGTATTATTCCTAGACTCCGAAAAAGAATCCAACAACTAGTGAGAAAGAGCAGAGAAAGCGAGAAGCTATTAGGTGCCTCTAGGATGCTACCTGACTGTCCCAAATTCAACCACTTCTATTTGGTTTAAATTGCTCTTCTTTCCATCAGAATACATGTGCCCTCAAAAAAGAAAAAATTAAAAGGAGTCATGGTCAAAAGCCTTGGTAAGTTTGGTAAATTAGCACCTAATGTTAATCTATCCACCATGGAAAATCTACCTTGCAAACACATGGTCGTTACAGAGAAGGATGTACATTTCCGCGTTACATTCTCAATACTGTAGTATCACGGAGCGATGGTGCTGAACGCTGCTTGTTCAGTCAGGACAGCCACAGCAGTCCCATACCTGCAATTACAGCGGAGGACGTGCCCATCTCTGTGGAGCTGTTTTGCCAGTTCAAGCTGATGGTTGTGCATCAGCTTTTCGTTTGTTACTACTATTAGTGGTTTTCCTTTTTCTAGTGTCTCCAGACAGCTACCTGCACCTACGGGAGAAAAAGAAAACACAATGAGTTTTTGCCCTGACGGATGAATTATCATGCTACTTGCTCTTGAAAGACGGGGGGCTCCAAAAGGTGAACATTTAACCATCCAGCTCTAGCTGGGGACCTGAACATTCAATGCCAGCCCAGCCCCGAGCCGTAGAGAGACTTCACCCGACCGACTTCCACTCCCGCCCCCAGGAGAACCGGCTCGGCAAACAAACGGGGCTCTCTCTACCTGCGTGGCTGATGACCAGGTCCGCCCTCCCCAGGTCCTCGGCCAGCGAGTCCTTGAAGCGGAAGGCTTCCACCGCCAAGGCCGGGCTGCTGGGCAGCGCCGGCTCCCGCGCGGCCC